CTAACATCACCCTCTTTTTTTAACACATCCAGTCTTCTATTCTAACTCAGCCAGCATGAAATAATGATCTCCAGCCTTGTGCTCGTCAACATTCTTACCAGAGTTAACAAGAAGAATATTGGAATTATCTCAGCAGGTTCTTTTATGGCATGAAATGCTGAATGATGAGATGCAGTGGAAATTTATTTTCTGGGATTAAGTTCATTTTCATGGCAAAGAAGGACTTTGCAACTCATCTGATAACTCTTCATAACATTCTGGAGTACATGCAAATTGCTATCATAAAAACTGAAGCGGCAAACTTTATGAAAACCAATATTTGTGTCATTCTCAAAACTTTTGCCCACGACTGTACACTGTTTATGGTGTCTTCATATTAGACACTATACAACCATCATCAGCTAAAATTCATATGAATCTCTGCGAGACAAGGTTTTTGTACAGTGAAATTATTCTGCAGATCATCAGAATGAAAACTTAGTGGCCATGTCTGCATAGCCTCTTCTAAAAGTATGCTTTCATGACATTATTGTGTGTTGGGTGGTGCTCAGGCCTATCGAGACTGAAAAGCGGGACATTGAACGTCACCTAGCTGAATCTTCAACTAATCACCACCTGGTGGTGAATTGGATCAGGAGGCGGGGGAGCATGCCGGACTGCTGCAAGGAGCGGCTGCAAGATGGTTGGTGCCTGTCGTGATCAAACTTAAGAGGGATCCGGTCGGCCTAGGATAGCCATCAGGTGGTGGCCTCCAGCTCTCACTGGAGAATTTCACAGCTGAGTGTAGAGCAGGGGGAATGAGAGTCACCACCTCCAAATCTGTGGCCACGATCCTCAGACAGAAAACAGTGGGGTGCCCACTCTGGATGAGTAGCTGCACCACGTGGATGACTTTGGGTATCTCAGGGTCCTGTTCACGAGTGAGCGAAGAGTGGAACAAGAGATCAACAGCTGCAGTGATGCGGACGCTGTATCAGTCTATTGTGGTGAAGAGTCATTCAAGACAGGCTCAGGGTAGAGCTGCTGCTCATCCACATCAAAGGCAGCCAGTTGGTGGTTTCAATTCTTCCTCAGAGGCCCGACTTAACACTTGGCATAACTGTTGCTGGGTTGTCTAACCTGAGGTCTGTTCTGTAGCAAATGCAGAAAAAAAATGTTTTAAGAAAGCAAATAGGTTGGTTTTCTAAAGAATATGATTATTTGCTCACACCAGGTGAGATGAGCCCTCTGTCACAAGTGGAGAGGTCAGTGAAGATGGTCATCTGCAGGTTCAAGGTCATTGCCTCTCCAACCCACATCCTCTGCCACTGTACTTAAGGAAACTTGGGACAATGTTAAAGACTTTCTTCAGGCAGTAATGGAAACAAGTCATCCTTAAAAAACTACAACACACCAGCTCAGGTGTCTGAATGCAAAACAAATGTGTTGTTTGAGTTAGAGACTGCACCTGGCTGAACTATAAATATATTTACAGTGGTCCCTTGCTATAATGCAGTTCACCTTTCGCAGCCTTATCTCATAGTGGACAGCAAATTTTTTTGTGTGCAATTTTTTATGTTTTGGGTTTTTTTTTTTAACAGGGCATTGTGTTGTGCATCCTGATTGACTGTAGACCATTGTCAATCAAATCTCGTGCCGTGTCTCCTGTACAGTACAGAATGCATTCAGCTTGTCAAATTTACATAAATCTTTGATCGCTGGCAGTGTGACTCTGAAGTACTGTACTGTATGTTTGTAAGTTTTCTCCCCAACAAACACAACAATGTCAATGAGACGTTTTGCACCATCAACCATCGTGTCTGTTGTTCAGCAGAACAGTGTCCGGTATGTTGGCTAATTTACTTTTTTTGATTTTTGAAAATAAAAGTTGGTCTCTTTTTTAAATGATCTTTGAATCACACATACAGTGTTTATATTAAGTGTTGTATTAGAAACCTCTCAAATCCAAGGCTGATAAAACATAATATGATTTTGTTTAAAACAGGAAATTAGCACAAATTGTTATTTGAATTTAGTAGAACATGAAATGTTTGTCAGTGGGAAAACATTAATATTGCTCACTCAGAAACATCAAGTTATTCGTAATACTGTGTACTTGTAATACTTGTGAATAAGTTGTCCTAACGTGGTTATCTTAAGTTGGCTTGACTTAGTTTCTTTTGAGGCAACGAGTTTGCATAACTTTTCTAATTTATGGGAACTAATTAGATTTTACAGATGATGCTAGTTTCAGATTCCTTCAGACTTTGAAAGCAAAATTCTTCCTTTTAATCAAAAATCTCGTAGAAGCCAGCAGTTCAATCTGTTTTTAGTTTTTCTGTTCGCTATTAATGCCTGTATGGTACCAGCCTCTTTCAGCTCCTCTCAACCATGACGTGACGTCATGTATCTGGAGCGTTTCCGGTGCAGGAAGGCGGGGCCTCGGTGTTCCTCAGGGAGCGAAGAGCAGGTGAGTCGCGCCTCTATACAGCAGCACGTTCTAACTTCCGAGAGCAGGACTCCCTCCTTCAGAATAAAATCCCAGCTAACAGCCGCTTTAAAGTTTTAAAGTTTTCATATTTGTGATTTTTTTTTCTGTTTTAATTATTTAGATTTTTTAAATGTTATATTAAAAAAAAGAAAACGGAAAGCGCGTCCAGCTGCCGGGGGTTGATTTCTGCTGTCAGAGGGCCAGCAGAGACTTTTTGCTAGTCATAAAAGAAACTAAATCCTTTTTAATTTATTTATTTTAACCAATGGAGCTTATCTTTAGTTATAAATAAATATCTTTATCATTTAAGTGTTTTTCAATATTTTTCAGATTTTTGCTTTTTTCATATTTTCGAGAAATTACATCTTTTACTGAAAAACACATTTAAATAATTCTGAAGAATTATAACAAAAATCATTTTTGATAATGATAATTAAACAAGCAGCTGATTATTGATTGATTGTTTGGGATTTCAGAAGATTTAAATGATCATCATATCTCTCAGATTAGCTATAAAATAAAACTATTTTTATTGTTTTTGTGAACATTTATAAAATATAATAATATATAATAATAATATACAAAAATATAAACTGACAAAAAATATTTAATCGAGTGATCAATTTATTCAATCTTAAATTAGATGAAATTCTCCAAACTGAAGAAGCAAAGGTAGGGAAGATGTATGAGTTTAAATACGTGGTGTCATGTCAACCATCCAGAGGAAAGTGAAGAGAGTGCAGGCAGGGTGGAGTGGGTGGAAACGAGTGTGACGGAAAAAGACAGGGGTGAAAGGGAAGGTTAAAAGATGGAGGGGACTAAGCTGCGCACGTGCGCACTGTTGGCACGGTCTCCGCGCAGAGAAAATCTGCGTTGCACACAAAAAAATTCTAACCTGAATTGAAATTAAAGTAAATATGTGCCAACACCTTTGTTTTAGCTAGCAAAGCGGCGTGGCTGATGTGGAGTGAAGCCACGTTAATGACAACGTGTGCAACCATTGGAGATGTGAGCAGGACAGACGGAAGAAGTAACGGAAAAACTGTGGACTTTATACCAGTTTTTGAATTGTGTTGATAGGCCACGTAAAACCAGAGTTATGATAAAAAAAAATATGCAATGTTTGGTTTTCTTCCTGAATATTATCGTTGTTTATATTTACTGCAGGAAGAAACTGTAAAAACGGCGTTTTATAAGGAAAACGCTTGAAGGCACTCTCCGCCTGTGAGCAAAGACGAAACCAAAACACCTCCACCCTTTCTTTCCCATTGGTCGGAAAATGTACTATGTCGACCAATCAAAACATGGCATTTAGTTGTTAAGAGACGGGAGGAAGTTTTAGAAGTGACGCGGTGTTTTGAGATGTGAGAGATTTGCAACGTTTAACACAAATCTTGTGTAGTTAGTGTGTAGTGTAGTCAATAGTTTTGTTGTGTGTGTCAGAACAATGAGGCGACAGTGATACATCTCCTGTTGTCAGGCCTGCATGTATCAGGCTGTTGTTCTCCTTTATCTCATAGTGGACAGAAATTATTTTTGGAGTGGCACAAATAATTTGTATGGCATCAGATTTGATGCAGAACACCTAATTGTTCTGTAAATAGTTTGAAATGTTTGTTTAAAAAACCGCCATGGCTGCATTTTTAGGTAAACAGCTGCAAAAAACTTTGTTGTTTGCAAAACTCAGTAACTTTTTTGAAGAAGTAACTATATAATTAATTGCCCAACATTGGTCATTATATTCTGTATTTTGCAGACAGAGAGTTACAGGACTCTCTCCCAGACCACAGACTCATAATACAAGTCAGAGCTTTATTTATTTATTTTTTTTTTAAAAAAAGAAGAACGTCGTTGTGTTTTCAAAATTGGAGTTCAAGTTATTTTTACTTCCAATAGTGTTAACATACTACACAGGTCATGAACAAGATTTTTTTTTTTCATTGTAAGTGGGCTAAAGCAGTTAATTAAAAGTAGTCTAACAGAAATGTAAATGTTGTAATTTTATTATTTTAATAAACCATGTAACTTGGATGGATTCGACGCTGGCGTGACCACAGTGCACACGTCTGCTGTTGCTCACAATGGTCCACGAGATCGCTCAGGGAGTTTGTGTGTTCGCTCCGACACATGAAAAATTAGAGGGAACATTGGAGGGGACCCTTGCTGTGATGGAGACGGTGGAGCTGCAGATGTTCATATGTTCAGTAAACAGGAAGGAGATGAGTCTGTCGGGGAGGCTTGGGTTTTGTGTAGAGGGCTGGACGGACAGGAAACCCCAAATTGCTCGAATGTGTGTGAATGGTAGTTAGAAAGAACTTGTGTGCTTGTGTCAACGGGTGAATGCACAAGTTGTGTAAAGCGCTTTGAGTGCTCAGATGAGAAGAAAAGCGCTATATAAGAACCAGTCCATTTACCATGTGTTTAGTCCTTCTGTTCTTGCGGTTTGTTGATGCTCGTCACTGACTCTTGGTTTTCTGAGCTCGGATATTTTATTGTGAAGCTCCCCGGCACCGGAAGCGGGACACAACTCCTCCGCTTGCTCGGGATCTTCATCCTGGATTCAGCCATATTCCCAGCGCTCCGCCACACCGGCAGCCTCCTCGAACTCTCCTCAAACTGGCCGTGATCCCGTGACTCTCTCCCCCACTCCCACGGAGAACTCGGACATTCTGACCCCTGCGCAGTCGCCCCCGGAGCTCCCGGAGCCAGCCCCGGTCCGACAAACCGAGCGGCGGACATGGAGCAGCGGCGGCCGACCTGAGAGTCGACGGTCCGCCCGACGTCCTGATCCTGAGAGGAAAGAGCAGATTTACCGGATTAGAGCCGGAGGAGGGCGGACAGAGGCAGGCCCGCAGGCTGCTGACCGGCGGTGACCCACGGTGGCCGGAGGACTCTCGGCGACGCTCCGAACCCCGCGGCTCAAAATGTCGGGAAGCTTCTCCTGGAGCTAACGGCTAACGGCTAGCAGCTAGGCAGGAAGCGGAGCCTCGGCAGCGGATACACCCGGACTGAGCGACGCGGGCCCGGCGGAGCATCCTGGAGAGTCCGGCGGGGACCGACAGCAGGATGTCGGCGCAGGAGCGGTTGAAGCGACTGGAGGAGCTGCTGCTGGAGCAGCGGGCGGCCGGCTGCCTGAGCGTGGAGGCGCTGCTAGACCTGCTGCTCTGCTTCTACACCGAGTGCTCCCAGTCCCCGCTCAAGAGGGAGAAGCACGTCACCGACTTCCTGGAGTGGGGTAAGACCCGGGGGGGTGGGGGGTCAGGTTCAGCAGACTGGAGCTGTCCTACTGAAGGTCAAAGGTCAATCAAGGAGATCCAGGTGTAGCACGCTTCAGGTAGTTTCAGGTGTACGTGAGGTAGATCCAGGGTGCTTGAGGGGTCAGAGGCAGATTCACCTCACAGGTGTCTGAAGGCTCTCTCCCCTGAGCTCAGCTCCAGGTCTGTGGAGCTCCTTGAAAGAGGATTCCGAAGGCTTATACGGCGTCTCCGGGTCTCTCGTGGTCTGACGTGGTCACATGATATACAATCAATAATCGAGGTGATTAGGTTTAAAGTTCAGTCAGGATGAACACTAGGATAATCCTCGCTTTTTCAGGCTCCGCCTTCCTGCCCTGGTTGTGGGTCCCATGTAGACTGTTAGTGTTTCCATGGTGACTGCATGTGGCTAATATCATTCAGTGATAGTGTAATCGATCAGCTGGTCTTGAATCAGCTTCCAGCTTCTGTGCAGCTGAAACACTCTGGCCCAGTTTGGCCTGGTTCAGCCTGTTCCTGTCCTGGTTTCTGTGACCTGGTTTCAATTTGCGATTCTGCTCTGAGTTGGAGCCGCTGTGAAGGCCAACTGCATGCACCGATGATGTCAGTGATCAGTAAGACCAATCAGGTCATGGGTGATCAATGACAGACGGTGTTCAGGTGATGTTTAACAAGAAGGTTTGATACAAATCGGCAGGAAGCTGAACAGGACAGTCGGTGATGAAGATTATGAAGGCAGTGATCACCTAAACATGATGTCATAACTTGACTGAGGTGTGTTATTGATCTGATACCATCTCCTTTAGATCAGGGGTGGAGAACTCTAGGCCTTGAGGGCCAGTGTCCTGCAGGTTTTAGATGTGTCCTTGATCCAACACAGCTGTTTTAAATGATTAAATTACCTCCTCAACATGTCTTGAAGTTCTCCAGGGGCCTGGTAATGAACTAATCATGTGATTCAGGTGTGTTGACCCAGGGTGATATCTAAAACCTGCAGGACACCAGCCCTCAAGGCCTGGAGTTTCCCACCCATGCTTTAAAGTAAACCATAATTGCTTCAGACAGCATCGCTCACACCTGTCAGTGTCTCTGAGCAATCACAAGGTTCTTAGACTCAGGCCCTCACCTAAGAGGGCGGGGACAGGAGAGGATGCACTCACTTCATTTGTCTTCCATTAATAATGTATGGCAAACCACTTTATCGCTAATCAATAACTGGCCTCCATCCGTTATTGATCAGTGATAAAGTTCTCCACCTGCTACAGAACTAAAACAGGACCAGCAGTCACGGCCACTCTGCAGACATGTCTCCATCAGTTGGACGGCAGCAGACTCGTAGACATGGAAACCGTAATGCCGCCATGACGTGGTGAATGTTTCTGTGCTCTTTCTCAGCCCTCCGCCTGTGATGTCACAGCAGTGACATCAGTCAGGCCGAAAGTGTTTGCAAGCGTTAAGTCAGGGCTCTGAGGAAAAATTGAAACCAGCTCAGCTCCTCTGCTGTGTTTCTATTCTGGTTTCTATGAGAGTAAATGTGAGTGACCCAGATAAATCTGATCTCAGATCAGATGAATAAATGATGAGGAGCTGACAGCATGCAGGGTACTAATGCCTCTAACTCACTGCCAGACTCGGGTCGTTCTGTTATCAGGACACGTTTAACCAATGTTCCCTCTAAACTGCGCGCATGCGCAATTCCGCACTGCTGGCACAGTCTCTGCGCACAGAAAATCCGTGTTGCGCACAAAACAAATCTAACCTGAATTGAAATTAAAATAAATACTTTAACAATTCTGTTTTGCAGTGTTAGTCAGTAAGTGACTGGCTGCTCCGGTATGGGATTACAACGACGCCATCTTATCCCATAGTCCAGCCAATGATGCGATTCACATTGGTATATACGCAGCTAATCAACGTCGTTGACAGGCTATGGCAGCATCCAGCCAACACCGGTGTTTTAGCTAGCACGTAGTTAGCCACGTTAATGACAACGTGTGCAACCATTGGAGATGTGAGCAGGACAGACGGAACAATTGACGGAATAAATGTGGACTTTATACCAGTTTTTAAATTGTGTTGATAGGTCACGTAAAACCATAGTTATAATAATATATGCAATGTTTGTTTTTTCCTGAATACTATCATTGTTTATATTTACTGTGGGAAGAAACTGTAAAAATAGCGTTTTATAGGGAAAACGCTCGAAAGCGCTCTCCGCCTGTGAGCAAATATACTATGTGGACCAATCAAAAAAATGATATGGCAACATGGCATTTAGTTGTTTAGGAAGAGGCAAGTTTTAGGAGTTGCGGCGGTGTTTTGAGATGTGAGAGATTTGCAACGTTTAGCGCAAATCCTGTGTAGTTAGTGTGTAGTGTAGTCAATAGTTTTGTTGTGTGTGTCAGAACAATGAGGCAACTGCTGAGTGTTACAGGTGTTACAGGAGTGATACATCTCCTGTTGTCAGGCCTGCAGGCTGTTGTTCTCCTTTATCTCATAGTGGACAGAAATAATTTTTTGGAGAGGCACAAATAATTTGTGTGGCATCAAATTTGATGCAGAACACCTGATTGTTCCGTAAATAATTTGAAATGTTTATTTAAAAAAACGCCTTGGCTGCATTTTTAGGTAAACAGCTGCAAAAAACTTTGTTTGCAAAACTCAGTTACTTTTTTGAAGAAGTAACTATATAATTAATTGCCCAACATTGGTCATTATAATTCTGTATTTTGCAGACAGAGAGTTACAGGACTCTCTCCCAGACCAGACTCATAATACAAGTCAGAGCAAAAAAAAAGTTCTTTTCAAAATTGGAGTTAAAGTTATTTTTACTTTGTGTGTTCGCTCAGACACATGAAAAATTAGAAGGAACATTGCGTTTAACCTAACGTCAGCGATCAGGGTCAGAGGTCACACAAACCTGGTTATCATCTCGCTGAGTTAACTCAGGGTTTAACCTGCAAGTTTACGTGAAAGGGGCAGAGCTGATAGCATCTGACCAATTTAAAGGGACATTTCACCTCTCATGTGACTCCTCTTTTACAGAGATGCTGTCAAGTAAAAATCTGTAAAGAACCAAAAAATCTGTGAATAATCTGAGAGGTGAAACTGGTTAATCTGGTCATTTGTGGCACAGAGCGGGAAAATACAAGTTAAATGGCAGTTAATGATTTTGTCTTTGTTTTTAAAGCAACGACTGCACATTCGTGTCTGAAACACAGAAACAGTAACATTTCCTGTCACACAGGCTGATGACGGAGATCAGAGTGGATGAATGTGATTGGTTGAACATTCCTGGTGTTCTGTGTTTGTAGCAGATCAGAGTCAAGTAGAATCAAGTAGAAAAAGATTTAAACATTTACTGCATCAGCACACGAACGTTCAGTCTGAGCCGCTCTAGGTTCATGCACTGCTCTCAGGAACAAGCTGCGCACTGATGCACATAAAAGAATCAGAGGACCGCTTCTGCTTTAAACTCTGAATATAACCTGCTCTTGACCAGGTGAGGGCTTCAGCCTCTGTTACCATTGTGATTTGATCTGGTAAGAAGTCAACAACAGAACATTACCTGTATGAGATTGGGTTAGTGTGGACCTCTGCATGCGTGTGACATTACCCCAGCTCTTCTGTGTGTTGCAGTGAAGCCATTCACAACCACGGTGAAGGACATGCGGCTGCACAAAGACGACTTCGAGATCCTGAAGGTGATTGGACGAGGAGCTTTTGGAGAGGTAAGACTTCCTGATGACCTGTGACTTGTCAGGTGATGAAAAGGAAACGCGGCGTATTCATGTGTAGACACAATAAATACAGACTCTTACTTTGTAAAGCACCTGAGCCCTGGGATTTCCTGGCCTGGTTGTGTGTTTGAGATGCCACACTGTGTCGCAGTGGCTTGGAGGAGGCTCCGCCCATCCTCCTCTGCAGTCTGAGGGAAAACGGGAAGGCTCAGATTCCAGGCAAACACAGGAAGTGAACGGGAAGCTGTTAGGAACACAAACTTGATGGAGGAGGAGGCGGCGCAATGACCAATCCCTGAAACAAAACTTAATTTCAGTTAATGTCACAGGCATTAACTCCACCACCTGTGACATCATCAGAGGCAGGGTAACCGAACAAATCCAAGTCGTGTCATGTGTTTGTTGTTGGTTTGACAGACAAATGGCAAAAAAATCTATCAAAAAACAAGTCAGCAGAGAGAAACTGTGACCCTGTTTCTGTAACCTGATTGGTCGCAAGGCTCCTTGCACTGTAGGCTTGGAGGTCGTCTCCGTCCTAAAACTGGATACAGCCCCGCCCTCCTCTCCTTACCTGAGCCTGTGGCCCAGAAATAATCCAGGGTGGAGATGGTAATCCAGGATAATCTGAAGATCATCGTGGACGCTGATGGAGATCTCATATTAAACGTCCTGCAGCACACCACAATGTGATTGGCTGTAGGGCTATTCGATATAACGATGTATATCAGATGACAATATAAAAACGTCTATTGTTTCATTTTACGCTATCGTTTGTTTCGTGGTGTCGCAAAATAAACTGTTTACAGCAATATTTTTTCACTGTTTTGATGGTCACTGTAGTGGCTATATTAATTTCTTAAAGTTCTCTCTTTCTCTTATATTTAAGAGAGAGAATTATTTCTAAAAACAGTCGCTTGTCCATCCGTAGTGTGGTTATACACTACGGACGGACAAGCGACTGTTTTTATGCGTTGTCGTTAGCAACAATGATGGTAAACCTTTCACAATAAAGCTCAAGATCCTGTTGAGACTTTTCAAAATAAACCGAATCACGTGAAAGAGTATGCAGCGTTTACGGATGAGAAGCAAAAAAGAGCCGTCAGACTCAAACGTTAGAACAGGCTTTTCCCCGCAGCACGCTGTGTAATAAATAATCACAAAGAAAACGGCGGCCGTTACAACTTATGACTAAAAATGTATAGGTTCATGCATCTGTTAAAACACAACGCCCAACTGGAAACACTTCACGCAAGTTGAGCTGCCCGAGATTCACAGAATTTACAGAAAATGTTACAATTTTGTGACTTATATCGTTATCGGGACGATAGATGTATTATATTGGGATATGAGATTTTGGTCATATTGCACAGCCCTAATTGGCTGAAATATTGAAGTTCTGTTTAATGTGAACAGAGACGGGTTGGTGGGGTCTTATTTGTTATGAAGACAAGAAGTTTGACATAATCGTGGTACCAGGGGACAGAGCAATTCAGTTCTTTACAGCATGGACGCAGTTTCCTGTGAGACATGCAGTGAAGACGTGCACACATATCAGAACCCACACGGTACTGTGGTATTTGTAGTCCTTTGGTGTTTGAGAGCTACACTAGGCGTCCTCTCTAGCATCTCTTGGGCTTTTGGGTAATGTGTAAAGCAGAGCGGGTGTCCTCGGCAGCCGCTGTCAGTGTGTGTCTGTTTCTGTGTGTGCGTTCTTGTCATACCAGAGGACAGGTGTGACACTACCACACCTGCCTGCTGCCTCGGGACATAAACACACACCTGTCCTCAGGTATGTCCCGAAGCACCGGGCAGGCATGGTTGTGACACACCTGTCCTCAGGTAAGTCCAGGTGAGCTGTGTGGGTGGGGTTCTATGTCATGTGCTCAGACCAGCTCAGCAAGTGATGTTAAAGATACACACCCGGTCACCATGGAGACCATAGCAGCAACACTGCACAGGTGATACACCTGTGGGAGGCACACAAATTTGACATGGCATCATTCTGGACCCTTGGCACATAGTGCTGCAGGTGTTTGTGTTTACCTGTGTGTTCATGTTTCTCGCCCCCCTCTCTCTCTGTCAGGTTGCCGTGGTGAAGATGAAGCACACGGAGCAAGTTTATGCTATGAAGATCCTCAATAAGTGGGAGATGCTAAAGCGAGCAGAGGTGGGCTCCTCTTCATGATCATGTAATGGGCTGTTGTGACCTTAGCGTGCTGTGGGCATGTTATTGATGTGTTGGTATGCTGTGAGTGCAGACGGCATGTTTCCGTGAAGAGCGTGACGTCCTGGTGAAAGGAGACAGTCAGTGGATCACCAACCTGCACTACGCCTTCCAGGACGACAACTTTTTGGTGAGTACTAGCTGCTGTCCCCTGTGGGACTGGGACTGGTAGTGGTACTATCTTTAACTCCTCTGTGTGTACCTGTACTGCAGTACTTGGTGATGGATTACTACGTAGGTGGTGACCTGCTGACGCTGCTCAGTAAGTTTGAGGATCGACTTCCTGAGGATATGGCCAAGTTCTACGTGGCTGAGATGGTACTCGCCATCCACTCCATCCATCAGCAGCACTACATACACAGGTACTCGGAGTACTGCAAACTGCACTGCCTGTACTTCACACTGTACTCTAAGTTGTACTGACCCTACCAAAGGTATGTGCCTCTGTGTCCAGGAAGTGTGGTTTTCCTGCTGCAGTGTCCTCTGGGAAATGTAGTTCCTTCCTGCTCAGCTGGCCTTTTCCTTCCTGAGATGGCTGAACTTTAACCTGCTGCTGTTCAGTCTCACGCATCTTTATTCACACACAGTTTACACACAGTGAAACGATGGCGCTTTAAGGTGCATCACGTGATCGGAGTCAGATAAAACATGGACGCACATCCCGTTTGGTACGCCTGGTCATATGTTTTAGAAATGACCATGTGGAGGTTGTCACAGTGAGTGTGTGATTTCAGAGACAGCCCCTCGTCACTGCCAGCTTCAAAACTCAAAATGGTGACAGCAAAAACACTCATCTGAAAAGGACCAATGGGTTCACAGCACAGTAGCGCCACCCATCTTTATACTGTGTGTGGTTAATCAGATCCTGCTGCAGCATCAGCTGACCATGTGACCTGTCTGCGATGAAGGTGACAATGACTAGCTGAATATGTTTTTCGTCTTTCAGAGACATCAAACCCGACAACGTCCTGCTCGACGTCAACGGCCATATTCGCCTCGCAGACTTCGGATCCTGTCTCCGCATGATGGAGGACGGCACGGTAACTGTCATGCTCCCATCGCCTCTTTGAAGCTAACAGTGCTCTCGTTAGTCTAGTTTAAGGTTAACCCTGGTAATCTTGGTGCTGGTCTTAATTCAGGAACTTCAATAGCTTAATTAAGTTAAGCTTGTTTAGTTCTGTTACTTGAGCTTAAGTTCACCTTTGACCTTTTCTGGATGACCTTTTGTAACCTCGGCCCATCCCAATGTGTCACTGTAGGTTCAGTCCTCGGTGGCAGTTGGCACGCCAGACTACATCTCCCCAGAGATCCTGCAGGCGATGGAGGACGGTATGGGCCGCTACGGCCCAGAGTGTGACTGGTGGTCACTGGGTGTGTGCATGTATGAGATGCTGTATGGCGAGACACCGTTCTACGCTGAGTCGCTGGTTGAAACCTATGGCAAGATCATGAATCATGAGGTCAGAACCATGGACTGTTCTATCTGCCAGAGTATTTGGACTGTCTTTCAGAATAAAGACACTAGCTGTTACAGTAATCAGATTACACTCTGTCAGGGTAATGATACTGTGCTCTGTAATTGGATTACTCTTGTCCTGCCCGTGCTGTGCTGCTGTTTCCAGGTTACAAGTCTGTCTCCAGGCTCTCGTCCCACTTCCTGTTTTGAATCAGAGCTCGTCCCTCAGCGCACGCTCGCCTTTTTGTCCAGTTTCCTGACTCTTCCTCTGAACGTATCCTTGTCTTTTCTTTTGCTGTTTCCAGGAGCGTTTCCAGTTCCCTTCCCATGTGACCGATGTGTCTGAAGATGCCAAGGATCTGATCCAGGGCTTGCTCTGTTCCAGGGATCGTCGCCTTGGACTTAATGGGATCTCTGATTTTAAAAGCCACCCTTTCTTCAACGGCATCGACTGGGACAACATCCGGTCCACCGGGGCCCCCTACATCCCCGAGGTGTCCTCACCCACCGACACCTCAAACTTTGACGTAGATGATGATGTCCTGAAGAACCCGGTGAGGACCGTCTTTCTATCCTCAAGACCGTCTTACATAGGAAGCAGCATGCAGTGGGATCACCGCTAGCTGGAGCGAGTCACGTAAATTTTATTCAACCCAGTTGAACTTTGACCGTGGCATGTGGGATTTCTCCCCGCCAGAGTGCTTTCACTGTGCTTTGCATAGGGCAGTACAGTATGTGCTGCTCCCTGTGTGAAATGGCCTTCCATCAATCTGACTGCTCTGAGACTCCATCAGTCTCACAGTCACCTGGAGTCACAGGGCAGTCAGACTGAGTCTGGGGCCTAGGAGTCTCTGAGAGTCCCCAAGACTCCAGGTGACTCTGAGACCACAGGTTTTCCAGTGGCCCTTCTTGTCCGCACAGTCCTTCATGCTGACAGGTCTTCTCTCTACAGGACATTGGACCTCCAGTGTCTCACACTGGTTTTACAGGGCAGCACCTCCCCTTCGTTGGCTTCACCTACACCACCGACAGCTGCTTCTCCGACCGCAGCTCTGTCAGCAAGGCGTGGTTGCGTGTCCAGATCGAAACAGATGGTGGAACAGGAGGGGAGGAGGTGGAGGCTTTTGAGAAGAGGATTCGTCGACTGGAGCAGGAGAAACAGGAACTGAACCGCAAACTGCAGGGTAAGGAGGAGGCGGACTCCAGCAGTACTCCCACAGTACGCTGTAGGACTCCAGCAGTACTCTGTAGGACTCGATCAGTATTCCTGCAGTACTCACTGTGACCTCACTGTGTCTGTCCTCCCACAGAGTCGACTCAGGCCCTGCAGGCTCCAGCTCGAGGAGGAACTCTGAGTCGAGACAAAGAGATCAAGAAGCTCAATGAGGAGATTGAACGACTCAAGAAGAAGCTGGCAGGTCAGAGGATGTTTCCGTGGTAACAGACACAGTTGGTGTGGTAGCACCTGATATGGTCAGAGCAAACAGCAGCTCCAGCTTCCCTGTATGTTAGTGATACTGATCAGTAACCTGTGGTCACATCATCAGCCTTCAGCTCTGTGAATCACAGCAGTCTGCAGGCACGGAGTTCATTAATAAAAGAACTGAATAAGGACATCGGTGCATCACCGCTGCCGCAAGCACATCCAGATAATTTTAGATGGATGTTTGTAACTGAGACCTTGGGTTTAGAGGACACTCTCCATCCAGATGTTTCAATCTGACTATGCTTGGAGCATAGTCAGCTGAAACTGAAATTTTATTTCCTGTTAGGTTAGTTTAACAGTGCCACTCGCAGAAAATAATTAAATTAATTAAATATTTCAAGTTTCTGTGCTCCGCCCGAGCTCATGTTTAGTGTCATACAGACACACATGTTTATTAATACGTTGGAGCCAATGAGACAGTACTGCAGAAAAATCAGTTTAAATAAAGTTATTAAAGTAATGTCACACTTTTTATTTATTAAAATAAACCCTGCCCCTGTAATCTCAGACTCTGACAGGCTGGAGCACCAGCTGGAGGAGGCGGTCTCTCTCAGACAAGACTATGAAAGCTCCGCCTCCAAACTGAGGAGCGTGGAGAAGCAGGTGAAAAGCCTGCGACAGGAGAAGGATGAGGTTCACAAGGTACGTGCATCTGGCCGCAGGTGGAGCTGTTTTTCAGAATAAAGGCCCTTTTCCATTAGTACCTACTCTGATCAACTCGTTTTCCATTACAATCCAGCACTAACTGATGTGAGTGGTTGTTGTCATAGCAACATGTTTGAGCGTCCCGCGACTTAATTACTATGCAGAACGCTACAACAAAGGTGGACATCCAAGCGACGACATACCTGTGGCTTTTTGTCAAACTCGTCAGACTGTTTTTGTAGCCATTTCCCTCGTTGCCATGGTTTCAAAAATGGCAGTTTTGATTTTTGTGAACAAGATGCTCTTATGATTCATCGAGTGACGCTAGCGACCAGCCAATCAGTGGCATGCAGTGTGACGACGTCACATTTTAGTACCTGCTCAGATGGCTTGGAACCCTGGGTGAGCAGGTACTAAAACAGTACCTTACAGAAAACCCTTTAAACTGTGGCAAGTCAATCCGAGTAGTTACTAATGAAAAGGGGCTTAATAGTCATGTATTCCCAAGCTAATAAACCCCACACCCTCTGAGCAGCAGTTGGCTGACGCCCTGGAACGCCTGAGGAGTCAGACGAAGGAGTTGAAGGAGGCGCACTCGCAGAGGAAGCTGGCGCTGCAGGAGTTCTCTGAGTTGTCGGAGAGGATGGCTGAGGTGCGCTCCTCAAAGCAGCGCCTGACCCGCCAGCTCCGTGACAAGGAGGAGGAGATGGAGGCGCTGCTGCAGAAGATGGACGGCACAAGGCAGGAGATCCGTAAGATGGAGAAGAGCCGTAAGGAGGTGAGTGAGGAGGGCTGCAGAGCATCAGCAGTGACCATTTGTGATTAAAACCTTAGAGACGAAAGTCTCCTCTGTTAGCATTCACCCTCATTATGGAGGGTTAGGGAGCGTCTGTCAGGTTTTCAGTTTGGTCGCTTTAAGTAATTTGTAAGTGATGATGATTGGGCACATATCCTGATGACAGGAAGTCAGGAACAGAAGTGTAAGAGGTCTGAAGATGAGCCTGAGAGAGACGGACAAAGCAGGAAAAAGAGGATTTGTTTTTGGTTCACAAGTGAGGTAGAGCCGTCTGGGTATCGCCAACAGTGCAGCGTGATACTGTTCTCTTATGTGGTTAGCAATACAGCTCTACAGATTAAGAGTTTGTTTTCTGACTTTCTAATTTGAGTTCCAGAGTCAAACTGAAAAGAACGGGAGGTGCACCATCAGTCCTGAGGTGCACCTCCTCGTGCTCACCAGCAGAGGGAGACAGATTCCTGTAATAAGCAGGAAGCCGTTGGTCACTCAAAGAACACTTTGATGTGAAACGAGAAGGAACCAAGCGTTTAAAGCGCCGTGAGCACATGTCAGAGACACGACAGGTCTAAAAGGTTTGGTCAGATCATAAGATGAATTACGACGGCTCCTTCATAAAGTGTTCGGGTTCTGGGTTAATGGAGGGACGCTCTCGCTGTCTGAAGGTGTGTTCTGACCGCACCTTCTGTTCGCACTGACTGTTGGAGGCTGTTCCTCTTGTTCTCTTGAGCAGCAGGAACTGGAAGCTTTGGGGTTTTCAGAAATTTTTTCAGGTCATATTAATGTCAGATTCCATAGGCAGCATACATACACAGTTCAGATCAACCCTGAGTGATGGTGCTGTGCTCTGATTGGCCGAACATGTCATTTAAAGTGCAGACTTCAGTAAAATGGCAGGAAAGATTCAGTGACGTGGGAAACACCCGAGTGAGCTCAAAGGAATTAATCTGCAGAGAGTGAATCAGGGTTACAGGAAAGGAGGCGAATGAATCACTAACCACTGCTAATGACATCACTTCTTGTTAGCAGGGTGTAAAAGTCATATAAACCTAAAAGCTGTGTGACTTCCCTATTCACCAACCGTCTGCTGACACTGAGTGGAGGGGGAGGTGATGGTGGGTCGACAGCTGGTTCCACAGCGTGCACACCTGTGTTGCAGGTGTGGTTATGACGAACCTCATGAGGATGATAAGAATTTAATGCAAAAGCAGGAAAATAAGACTCATTTTGAGCAGCACTAGTCTGACATCATCACCCATCAGCTCAGCCTGAGCAGTGATTGATGTCTCTGCTATTCAATGTTTATGACGGGACTGTGAGGTGTGGTGTCTTCGTCACTGCAGACACATGTTCATGTTTATGTGCTGTAACGCAGCTCTGCTCCACGTGCACTCCACGTGCACACCAAGGCGCCTCATGTTAGGTCCCCTGCAGAGCTTCCATCTCAGTAGGTCTGAGTCTCAGTAAGCTCCACCGACCCGCTGACACGCCTGCAGGTGAAGGGGCTTCACTGCGGCTCTGCTACAAGCGTTCACTTGCTCTGTGCTCACCTTCAGTTTACAGATTTAAAGGATCCAGCCCTTCAAGATAAAAGCCTTTTGTTTGTGTGTTAGCTGGAGGCTCAGCTGGATGAGGTGCAGACAGAGGCATCAAAGGAGAGGAAGCTGAGGGAGCACAGCGAGGTTTACTCCAAACAGCTGGAGGCGGAGCTGCAGAGTCTAAAGGTCAGAGGTCACACACACACACACACCCCTTTACACCCATCACGACCACACAATCACGATTTGAGCCTGGGTTAAGCCAAACTCTGGCTGAACCGGTCCTCACAGTCGTGCAGAAGGGCTTCTTAGTTGTTCTGGTTCTGATCCTAGTCTCAGCAGGGCCGTGGAGTAGCAGCAGGAGGGGCGGAGTTTCAGCAGGAACTATCCCGTCTAAAGGCAGAGCTGGACAAGAAGGTGCTGTTCTACGAGGAGGAGCTCCTGAGGAGGGACTCGGCCCACTCCTCTGAGATAAAAAACCTCTGCAAAGACTTGCAGGAGTCTGAGGGGGCGCAGCTCACCGCCAACAAGGAGTTGCTGCAGCTCCGAGACAAGCTAGACAAGGCCAAGAGGGACAGGTGAGTCCTGAACTGGGTTTACTGGCAGGTACAGGTGAGTCATGGCCAGATCCATGCTGACCTAGTGAGTGTGTGTGTGTGTGTGTGTGTGCCCTCTCAGGCAAGTTGAGATGGAAGAAGCTCTCACTGCTCTCAAGAAGAAACATGAGCGAGAGAAGAACCTGCTGACAGAAGAAAACCGAAAACTGACGGCAGAGACCGACAAGGTGATACTCCTGTAGTAGTGTTACTGCACACTTTCTAGTACTAGGAACACCGCTGTGTAATACTGCTCTCGTTGTGGTTGTGTCCAGCTGTGCTCGTTTGTGGATAACCTGACGGCTCAGAATCGGCAACTAGAAGACGAGCTGCAGGACCTGGCGTCCAAGAAGGAGAGCGTGGCTCACTGGGAGGCTCAAATCGCAGAGATCATCCAGTGGTGAGTCATGTGAGCTGCTTGGACACCGCCGTGGGTTCAGCGACACTTTTTTAAGGACATGTGGTACACTGTGTTCAGGGTCAGCGACGAGAAGGACGCTCGAGGTTATCTGCAGGCTCTAGCCACCAAGATGACGGAGGAGCTGGAAACTCTACGCAGCTCCAGCTTGGGAACCAGACCTCTGGTAACACACACACACACACACACACACACACACACACACACACACACACGTTTAATCAGAGAGTAATATGTGAGCATGGGACTTCACCTGAAGCGACCTGTTGAAGCCTCCGCCTGTCACAGGTGTGTTCAGACATCACTCAGTCATAGCAGAAATTTTTTTTCAATTTATGTTACAGATACTCAGAAATGTTTTATCCCTTCAGTTATGTTTTACCTTAGTGGCTTTTATTGTGAAAGAAATCCAGGAATGTCCTCCACCTTCTTCAGACTGTAGTACTATCTGTATCTGTGTGTTGATTTTGTTTGGGGTTTTTTTTTTTTCCTTTTAAACCTGGTGTCTTAGACGGAATCAGGAGTGGCCACTCCTCCTAAGAAGCCCTGGCCTCCCATTGGTGGAGACAGGAGGGTGAGTGAGCTGGTCACGATTTCCAGCCAGTTAAAAATCACTTTCTGGACGAGCTTAAAGATGCTTGCATGGCTATTGGCTTGCATGTGTACCATTGATATTAGAACGCAGCGAGGCTTTACCAGTGCGGGTTCCTGACAGCTGTGACGAAGTCATAGAGTGGATCACACAGAAGCCTGGAGAGGTCAGAGGTCAAGCAGAGGCAGAGATGAGGAGGTTACAACGAGAGTTAGTGTCTACAGTGACCCCTCGAGATGAATCCAGGGTCAGGACAGGGTGAGGGTTCAAGCTCTGGTGGGGACAGAGTGGAGATGAAGCTTTAGTCTAAGGTGGTGTCACAGTCTGTACTTCAGGGAGTAGTTTACTCTGTACTTGAGTCAGTACTCGGTCTACACATTAGTTTTTACTCACTGAGTACCTTCAGTAGGCACCTGGGGGGTCAGGTACTTCACTTCAGGTACTCTTCTGTTATCTTTGAAGGTTTAGAGTCATCTGGAATTTAAGCAGTGCATCCTTTAGGGCTTTAAGTGGTCAAATCTTGATGTCATATGATAATGTCACATTTTCCAGCAGCTACATCGGTGGTATCACATGTCTGGACATCACCTCACCTGATTGAACACTCAATGGCTGTGTCCCAATTCAGGGTCTGCACGCTTAAAGTACGCGCACTACGCGTACTACGTACGGTGCGTACTATTAGTACGAGAAGTGCGGAAGTGAGAGGCTTGTGAAATGGGACGGTCTAGCCTTCGTCGCGCTGTTCAGGTTGCCTAGCAACCATGATACTAACCGCGAGAAACGTTACAAACGGCATTGTTTGACAGAAATGAAGGAGAAAAAATGTTTTGTTGGTCATTCATTTTTGTCATGACATCACTGTGATTAGTTGAGTATCTGAGGCTGAGACCACGGGACTGTAAAGCATGATTGTTGGGCTTCATTTCTGTACTGAACAGTCATTTCAAGATTAGTTAGTAAATAACAATTAGCTAATGTTGTTCATGACACTAAAATCATCTCACTCTGGCAATGTAAAT